TTGATTTTGTTACTGATGTAATATTTGTTAGGAACCGGACCGGGTACACGCAGCGGAAACACACTATCACACACACACAAACTCACGAAAATAAAGCAAGAAGAACACAAGGATTTTACGTGGTTCGGATTCGGTGCAAATCCTACATCCACGGGCTGCAACTAGAGAATTTTATTAAAACTCACAAGATTACAATTGGCTTGACACTCTACACTTGATGTTCTCTCAAGTTTTTGCACACAAAATATGCAAAACATACATGCATATATATACGTGAGAGAGCTGCAATTTGCACATGAAATTGAGTCGTCGTAACAATAGTACTCAAATGTGAAAGCCGCAAATGTTGAGTCGTCGTGACAATAGTACTCAAATGTGAAAGCCGCAAATGTTGACGTTGAATTTCCTTCCATTCACATTAGCCGTCCAACAATTGATTCTTTTATTTCACATGCATAGCCACATGTTTTCAACCTTTCATATTTTACCTAACAATCTCCCACTTGAAAGTTTGAACAACATGGTCCGTCTCTGTCATCCAACTCCAGTAATCTTAAAACAACCAAGTCTTCCAAGCCTCCAGTTCCTAAGAACAAGCTAAACTTAGTCCCATTTCTCTAATTGCAGCCGCCCCTCATCTTCAAGTACTAGAAGGGACAGTTGAAGCTCCCACTAGCTCCAACTCAGTCGTGGCTAATCCCACCACCGACTCATCCTCTGTCTCAACCGGTTTGGACACTCCACCAGATCCAGAGATACACCGAGGACCACTAACACTCTCCCAACTTTGCAAACTTTCAACAGGAGAGACTTTTTCAGTCTTAGTCTTCAAAAAACCCAACGGCTCTTTGTAACTGTACCCGAAACACACCCCGTGCTCCCACTGTCACAGAATCTCCTGAATGGTTTAGAATTTCTGACTCGTTCAGCTAACATCCCCTTGGCTCCAGAATTCATGTTTGCAAAATGAACTCTCTTAGCCGTAGATTTAGCGAACCAGATTTTGTCTTGCTTAACAGGGACGGTCATACTTCCCTCAGCAGATACCTCAACCATATACAATGACCCACACTTCATACCATGAGCAATCACTAGATTATCATTGATCACCCTCCATTTACCACCACCAAACCTTACTTCCAGTCCTTGTTTATCCAGCTGACCAACAGAAATCAATTTCTTCTTCAGCTCCGGAATCACCCTGACATCCTTCAGGCTCCATGTAGTTCCCAATGAAGTAACCAAATCAATATCTCCCATGCCCGTTACCTGAAGCATCTCGTCATTTGCCAAACGTACCTTTCCAAAATCTCCTTCTTTTAGATTCACCATCGTTTCCCCGTTGTCCATGGCGTGAAACGAAGCCCCTGAATCCATGACCCAAGAGTCTACAGAACTTTCCATACTGAGTATCAATGCATCATCCTCAGACACACTCTCAGCACCGGCAATGTTCAATTCTTTCTTTGGACATTGACTCTTAACATGTCCCACCTCCTGGCAGTTCCAGCACTTCACATTCTTCTTAGTTCTAGATGAACTTCTTCCCCGACTCCCACTGCTTCCACTATTCCTGCTATTCCCTCTACCTCTTCTGACATTTAATAAATCAGAAGAGGAAGATCCACCTTGATTCTTGCGTCTGATATCCTCGCCTAGAACCAAATCTCTAACCCCTTCAAAAGTCATACCACTGGTCCCCACGGAACTCGTAACAGCAGTAACTGTTCCGGACCAGCTATCAGGTAGAGAAGCTAGTAGCAGTGATGCTTGAGTCTCGTTATCAAATTTAATTCCCACAGATGATAATCTGGACAGAATTGAATTTAGATTGTTAATGTGAACCGTAACTGAGCCTTCCTCATTCATCCTTGTAGTGAACAGCTCCTTCATCAAGAACACCTTGTTAGCCGCCGATGGTTTCTCATACATATTTGACAGAGCCTCCATCATACCACGTGCCGTGGTTACATTCATGATGTTGAAAGCAACGCTCTTCGTCAACGACAATGTAATAACCGCCTTGGCTTTCTTGTCCTTTGAGTTCCACGCATCTTCAGCAGCTTTTTCCATTTTCTCCGGTTTGTCTCCGAGTACCACGTCCAAGTCTTTCTGACATAGCAATGCTTCTAGTTGCATTTTCCACCAGCTAAATTCAGAACCGTTGAACTTTTCGATTACAACCTTGTCTTCAGCCATTACGACAAACAAGATACAAATCAGGTACACTCGTGCGTGATAAAAAAAATGATTGTACCCTCCAAACCTCGCTAATCTGGCTCTGATACCAGTTGTTAGGAACCGGACCGGGTACACGCAGCGGAAACACACTATCACACACACACAAACTCACGAAAATAAAGCAAGAAGAACACAAGGATTTTACGTGGTTCGGATTCGGTGCAAATCCTACATCCACGGGCTGCAACTAGAGAATTTTATTAAAACTCACAAGATTACAATTGGCTTGACACTCTACACTTGATGTTCTCTCAAGTTTTTGCACACAAAATATGCAAAACATACATGCATATATATAGGTGAGAGAGCCGCAATTTGCACATGAAATTGAGTCGTCGTAACAATAGTACTCAAATGTGAAAGCCGCAAATGTTGAGTCGTCGTGACAATAGTACTCAAATGTGAAAGCCGCAAATGTTGACGTTGAATTTCCTTCCATTCACATTAGCCGTCCAACAATTGATTCTTTTATTTCACATGCATAGCCACATGTTTTCAACCTTTCATATTTTACCTAACAATATTAATCCAAGAATTTTCCAGGTAGAGCTACTTTCATTGTAAACAGTAAATTGTAAATCAATTTCTGAAGGGAAGACACCGCGGGACTAAAGAAGAGAGAAAGAGAGAAGAGGGGGATCGGAAACTCAAAGCAAACAAAAGAATTAAAATCGTAGATTGTAATCTGAAAGTCTATTGAATTTCTTGAGATAGAGCAATAATTGAGGGTTTTAATGATCACTGGAAGCGAGTATAGGAAAATTAGAACACACATTTTCAGAAACACATACCTGAGAAACAGCGTCTCCCAAACGGGTGTGGCGATCTAATTTGATGGGCGTCGTTCAAACATTGAGTTACCTGGCGTCCTTGGAAAACGTACAAATGTGATGTCGACACTACCAGAGAAAAAGGCTTTATATAGTAAGTGAGGAACGACGATAACAAGGATTGAATCGACCCAGTAGTAAGTTGCGTCGTTCTGTTGTGAGGATGGAAGAAACGTGTCGAAGGGATTCGGAAACAGGAGCCTAAAAGAAAGCGGTTGAGAAAAGATGTACCTTTCTCTTTGAAACGTCTGAAGCAACGATTGACTGTCTTCAACCGCTGCCATTGCTCTTCTTTGAGGTCTGCTCACGCGCGCTGTACGCGCTTTTTAAAAAATAAGGTTTTCTTATATATATATATATATATATATATATATATATATATATATATATATATATATATATATATCTATATATATATATATATATATATAAAATATTTCATATAACATGATCACATTTGTTTTGATTAACGACGAATGGTGTCGACATGAGCTACGAAACAACAATAAATCCATACAACACAAGAACGGTAAAAATGAAGAATTATTAGCAGAGATGGCATACACGATTTCAATTATATAACTTATTATGAGCGATGATGCTACATCGTCTCCGCCATGTAGGTTATGTTACAGTTGGTGGACATATAATGTTTGTAGAATCGGAGGAGAATCAATAGCTTCCTGAAAATGGTAAGACAAGAAGGGTTAGCACTATCACCATGAGATTTATTGGTAATATTCTCTAATATCTAAATTAGAATAACCGGGTCGTGACATTACTCTATGAATGAGTTAAGAGTGTTTATCTTGCCTAACATTTGCTTATAGGCTCATGAGCTTACATGGAGTAAGACATATAATACGGTTGCCAATATTTGTTTATAGGTGGAGCTTGCCCTAGAGTTTGTGGGCTTCTTATTAAATAATGTTTCATTTAGTTCTTTGTACCATATTTGATTAGCCTTGTTGGAATTTGTTGTCGATTAGACTTACTCGGTATATCCATGTTGTCCTTATGTGTATGTGTGCCACCTTTTGGCGATCGGTACCCGACATTTCCTATCCCGTCATGGTCATGGTTTGTCCTTCTATTGCTCTACACAAGTTTCTTAGGTGGGTCCCCACTAAGCAAATTATGTAACTTGGAGCTTTTTTTTCTTTCTATCAAGTCCTCAAAGGTAAAGTGACTAAAAATGACATTTATCTCTAACTAATTCAGGAAAGTAATTTAACAAGACATTCGTCTCTAACAAAATTGTAGTATAGAAAAGGTATTTTTTTTCTTTGACATAGGTAAATAGTTGGAGTCTTGATATAATAAGCAATTTTTTTGGCTTAACCCATTAAAATTTAAGTAAAAAAATTTATGTATTATTGTCCACATTAAGAGGATTAACCAAATAACTCAATAAGCTCACAAAGACAAAATGAAACAACTCAGTGGTACGATTGTCAAAATCATGATCTTGATCGTAGGATCGTACGATCCTACGATCCTAGGTATGAAAAACGAGTCGGATCGTATACAGATTGTATCTGGGTATGGTCGCAAGTAAGATCGTAGAATCATGATCTTGATCGCAGAATTAGGATCCGATCCCACCCTCCCTTGATTTTTTTTTTTTGAAAAAATTAAAAAAAAAATTCAAAATTACTTTACGACTTTTACTCTTTACCAATTTACCGTTTACCTTTTTTGTTGTAACTAATGGTTAGAAGTTTTTATAGGATTTTGAACGGAAAGCTGAATATTGAAGATATTTTTCATGTTTTAAACTTTTAAGTTAAAATTATGTTTTTTTATGAGATCTTAAGATCCCGATTGCGATCTTATAATCTCAATCTTGTAAACCCAAAAACGATCCTACATAGATCACCGATCTTGACAACCTTGTCCGGTAGCCTTTTATAAAAATAGTGAGGATTTGTTCTCTTTTTCAATAAGCAAAAAAATAAATAAGTATGTGACCTTAAAAGTCCATGCACCCCTGGCCCCTACCGCATAACTTGTTACTCACAAAGAAGAAAGAACATTCCACTCGCATCATCCGTTAACTTGTTAATTAGTTTAATCAGAAAGTTTTCTTCATGACATGACATGCATTTGACATATCATTAAAGGATACATTATCATCCTTTTAATATATCTAACTCTTTAACTATGTAATGTAAACAAAAACAAATGTATATTTGAATTTAATAAAAGAATACACTTAAACAAAATATCAAGCTCTCAACTTAGACAACACTACAAAAGGAAACACTAAGTTTTATGTTCTTTCAACCATGAAGTATTGCACATATAGCTCAAATCAAACTATCCATCTTTCCTGTAAAACAAAAAGATTTAACATTCATCAACATTTTACCACATTCTTAAATAAATAACTAAATAAATAAGTTTTTTGTCAACATACAGATAAAAAGATTTTACTTTCTCTTTCTTCTATCAATCCCACTCCTGGGGTCACTTTTTTGAGGTGGACCAGAAGGTACACCATACTGCATAGGCGAGAGTACTGGCGGCACAGCGACAGGACCACCAGAAGAAGCAGCAGCAATGGTGGTGGTTGGAGGTGGTGGAACTGCATTAGATGGTGGTGGTGCAGTAGTTTCCGGAAGGGGCCTTGGTAAGATATGTTTCAACCGATTATTCCTGTAGTTCTTCCAAAAGTAAAACTGCTGCCTATGTGTCAACTCCTTATTGGCTGGATGTGCCATTGCATTGCGGAAACTTGCATTTTGTAGAAGTTCTAGAAAGTAAAGACAATGTGGATACCTGTAAATTGTAATCCTCCAAAACATAAGCAGAATTTTATAAAGAGTAAAGAAAACAAGATTCTTAGGCTCTTAGCTTACATTATGTATTTTATGTACTCTGGTCGTTGCCAGTATTGAAGGTAGTTCAAGTAGCCAATGAAAGCTTCATCTTCAAAATAACGATTCTGAGCCAAATCTGTATCAGAATTTGCAAAAAGTTAACATCTTTCATGGTAACGATTCTACCATTTTGAATTAAACTTACAGTGAATATAAGTTGGATTCGCAAGGCATTGTATGAATTCCAGTTCAAGTAAAAATCTTTGACGCCCATCATCTGGATCTTGGTATACTTTCTTGGGCCTGGAACATGATTTAGGTCAGAAAAATGGTTGTATCATGCAATAATTATAATTTGTATTAACTATGACATATAAAAGCTTACGAGCTGTGGGTATTTGAGGAGTCATCATCTTCATGACTTGAAGCCATGGAGTTGCAGACCTCCGATGGAAGATTCCAAAACTCACGCCTCTGGATAATCAGCAAGGTAAGTAGAAAAGGGAAACGTTAATGGTACATTTCGAATTATTAGGTCGAATTCATCTTACAAATTATTCCCCAATTATTCCAGTTGAAATACTTATCATAAAGTTTAATGTGGCTAGCGAACCCTAGTCGTAACTCGCAATTTTCAATTTCCTAATCATATCATAATTCACGATTTTCTTATAGGGCTCTAAGTCGAAATTGATAGTTTCAGCATCTAACTGTACATTTGATCTTAAACAACAGAAAGCAAACTCAAAACAACTGAAAATCGTTCTTCGAATTCAAGTCACAAGTTCTCCAAGTCACAAATGAATTCAACAAAAAATGAGCTAATAGAAAAATAGCGATTTCCAGATTCAGAGTAAGGGAGGTACTTGATACTTCAAAAGCGAGTAAACGCCAGTCACCGTCCGAGGGAGTAGTCGCCGCCGGAGAATCCAACACCGATCAGCGTCGTTAGTTCACCGTGTGTCGAGAGTGAAGAAGATTTTTGTTCGTGTGAATTGGGCTTGGCCCAATATATAATAAGGTTGATAAGTAATCCGGCCCAAGTTTGTACAAATATTCAAAAACTACCCCCAGGGATGAAACAAATAACAGTGTTAGCCTTCATCATCGTCATCTGGTTTCGCCATCATCGGTCACAAACTCTCACCTCTCAATACAACCCCTAAGTCGAAGCACTTCGTGTTTGTGCAGAGACAGATCGGAGGTTAGAGCTATGGATCACACGGCGGAGCAAGACCAAGATCAGGAGCACGAAGTGTACGGCGGAGATATACCAGATGAAGGAGAAATGGACGCCGATGTTGAGATGTCAAGGAACGAAACGGAAGGAGATGAAAACAACAACTCGAAGGTTAATATTTCTGTTATCTCCAATGTCGACGTTTTGATACTTATGGTTTGGGGATTGAATAATTATGCATTCGTGTGAAGTGACTTCAAGCCCTAATTTAATTTCGAAATTTCTTTCTGTATCTCTTTTGTTTGTGAATTTAGGATTTAGAGGATATGAAGAAGAGACTGAAGGAGATTGAAGAAGAAGCTGGCGCTCTTCGGGAAATGCAGGCAAAAGTTGAGAAGGAGATGGGCTCCGTTCAAGGTCTTTGTTCTAATTTGGCTGTTTTTGGCTTATCCTGCTTTCAGTATGCTATATATTCTGAATTGTTTTCATTATTCAGCATTTATTCCATTTGTTCATGGATACATCATACATCAATCCAACTTTAGGTAGACATAAACTGCATCAAATAAGGTGAGTGCATATTGTGTAATAAGAGGAAACATAACCCTAGTTTAAGATTTTGAAGACCTTAGAAAGGTTAAGGTTCCTTCATAGTTGAATTCTCATGAATCGAAAGGGATGCAATAAAAAGCCTTCTATTAAACAACATTGATTAGTCCTCTCACTTTCCATAAAATACTTTGGAAGATTATATATTTTTTGTTGTTATGAGATTACAAGACTTATTACCTTCATTAGTGACATCATCTCCAAGTTATTGGCTGAGAATTTAAGATATGTGAGTCTGTGTATTAAAATTTGCTTTTGTTTTGATTATGGACATGATTAGATGATTCTTCGGGTGCTTCTGCAACTCAGGCTGAAAAAGAGGAAGCAGATGCGCGTTCCATATATGTTGGTAATGTGAGGTTCTTTTATCTTTCACCTTATTCCATTCTAATGAAACAAAAATATATTTTTATATGATTAAAGTTGCTTATAATCTGAATTTCAGGTGGATTATGCATGTACACCTGAGGAAGTTCAGCAGCATTTTCAATCATGTGGAACAGTGAACAGGGTGACAATTTTAACAGACAAATTTGGTCAACCAAAAGGTTTTGCATATGTTGAATTTGTGGAGCTTGAAGCTATTCCAAATGCTCTCCTTTTAAATGAATCAGAATTACATGGTCGTCAACTCAAGGTCCTAACTCCTAATCCTAAAACTTTATTCCTTTCTTCCATTTTGCCAAAATTACCAAAATGGCCTCGTCAAATTTTCATGTTACAAACTGTTTTCATTCAGGTTGCTTCTAAAAGAACAAATGTCCCTGGAATGAAACAATTCAGAGGCAGGCGTTCCAATCCTTATCTTGGATTCAATTCCCGGAGGCCTTTCATGCCTGGCCCACCAATGTACTCTCCATATGGGTATGGGTATGGGATTTGATTTTTTAACATATCAAAATAATAGCAGAAGCCTAACATTTTCATTTTTTTTTTTTTTTGCAGAAGGATTCCAAGGGCAAGAAGGCCGATGAGATACAGACCATATTGAGATTTAAGTTAACAGGTGGTCAAACGAGTCAATGCTCATACAGGGTCCCACTTAGTCTTTTAGAACATGTATGATTATGTACCATTTCCCAACATTCTTGTAGCTTTATCTTTTAAGAATTATGTTTGTTGTATGCACTTTTTTATAACTTCCTTTCATACTCATCATAGTCCAAAGAGATGGAACTTAAACCTCTTTTAGTAGTGAAAGTGTTGTGGCTTATCTTTGGATTTGAAATTATATAAATGGAATAGAAATCTGAAGTAACGAGGTTTTAACAATTTAGTCTTAAATTTGCTTGGAAATATAAACCAATATAATACATGTTTACTCTCCCTTCTAACTATTGAGGACTTGCAATTTTCTTTTGGGCCTAAACTTGTTAGGTTTTGGAGGTGGAAGAAGCCACTTGCTACCTCCAATGTACGAAAGGCTGATAAACCGCTTAGCTTCTGCGTCTGTAAGTTTCTTCACAAATCGTTCTCTTCCTATCATATCCGAACCTTTTCCTTTGTTCTTATATTCCGCGAAATATAGGTTCCTACAACATGTTTCGATCAAACCACCAATAGTTTACATAGGATACTGGACTTGATAAGTTTTTTAAGGTTATTTTTGATAAAATAAAAAGTTAGGCTCTGTCCCACCTTTTTGGACGAGACAAAGTAGTTTTTGTTCTCCTCACATCAGTTTCAGTTTACTACATGTCACATACAGTATAATTTGTTATGGCTTGTCATTAACTTACTTGTCAGGTAAAGGTTTATTATTAGAGCTCCATCCTTTAGGATCGACGATAGGACCCAATTTCGAGTAAGCAAACACCACCCTTGAGAACCCCTTCCATGCTCTTCCTAAGTACCAACCTTGCCCTAATCCGGTCACCGGGCAATGCACAAACACATAGCCCGTGTCTGTTTCATCCATTTCCCGTGCTTGTGCTGTTATCCACGACTGTAATTCTCCCGGAATGCAATGTACTTCCGTGTTCTACAAGTAACACAACAACAAAAAAAAAATCGAATACAATACAACCAACATGAAAAGATTCTTCACAACCCTGTTCACTTACCAGATAAATAGATCTTGCATTACCAAAGATGAAATCAGCCGTTCCTTCAATGTAACAATCTTTGAAGAAATGGCGACCACGATCATCACATAAAGTATCTTGAAACCCGTAAAATCTTACGTTGTAGAACGCCGCCATGTCCCCTCCAATCCTCATTGCAGCCGCTTGGCTTCCTTTTGTTTTTCCATTTGGTCTTGGGCTCGAATTCTACACGTTTAAAAGGTGTGGAATTAATTTCTATCATATTCAGGCTTGAACCTACGACATTTCTTATATTTCTTATGGATTCTTATCTCATTACCAGTACACAGTTATGAAAGGACATTCGTTTTCTTGAAGAGAAAAAGATGTAAAATTGTTTTACGGACCTTAATATGCAAATTGGCTGCGACAAAATAATCACCATCGACGGTTAATGTCCCGCTTTCGACTGTGGTATAAGTTGCGGCATTTCCATTGAAAATCAAGGTAGGCATGTTGTCAGGATCTCCCATTAAAGTAACAAACTTCATTTCCCTCTCCATTTTAATCTTCTCAACATATTCTCCTGGTCCGATGAATACAATAACCCTTTTTGTATTCTTTAATGGGATGGTTTTTACAGCATCACAAATTGTTGTGAAATCACCACCACCTTTCTTCATGACTCTTATGATCCTTGGTTTTTTTTCTGCAGCCACTAAGTCAGGATCAAGGGTTGCTTTTCGGGCTTGTAAAGGTTTTACGTTTTCTTTGAACCATTTCTTTACTTGGGATCGTTCTTGTGGGATTGGTATACTATCGTCCGAAATGGTTGAAGGAAGAATGATTAAGATTATGTTGAGAATAATCAGAAACAAATATCTTACCATTTCCCCCCTTTTTTCTCGATATATATCTTTCCTGATGTTTAGGCAATCCAATGTCGTGTTCTATGCTTGTTAATGTATATATAGAGAGAGATATAGGGGGGATATCTGAAAGATGATGCAAGAAATGAATTTGGAGAAGGTTTATGGTGAATTGAGTTATGTAATTTCCTTTCCCCTCCTCGATTCTTGATCGCACCTTAATATTTCTTACTATTATTTCTCTCCACCTCTGAATAAATTAATGTAAAAATGAGATGGCCATTATTAATCCTTAAAGAGGGAGTTATGTATATGTTTTAAAATCACATATCAAGATTTTTAGGTCGAATTATATTTTATTTAGTTTTTTTTCTAGAATATATTTAGCGGGTGTACGTTTTCAAAGTGAGCAAAGGTGTCAACATAATAGTATCTTATTGATAATTAATATAATTTGTTAATATCGATTAAAACTAACTAGTTGTAAAATGTAGATTTGTTAGATCACTCTTACTATTTGGGATTGTCCAGCAAAAGTAACTGGAAGATGTATTTTCTAATTGGGAAATCTCCAGAAAAGTGCTAAAATTTTATCTTAATTTATGAAAAAGAACCAAACTAAAATTTGTTTACGAAAAAGCATGAATTGCCGGTAAAAATTACGATTCGACCCATTTTTTTTCCGGTTTACCGGTTTTATTACTTACATGTTTCACTAAAGTCCCATTATTTTACCCTAATTTGTGAATAAGTCCCAAAATAAAATTTACTGATGATTTGGTCATTTTCTTCATGTAACATAAATTTTATCGGTTTCATTGCTGACTTAGACACTTAGTCATTAAATTAGCTGATAAGATGAATACGATGGGTTATATAATGTCACATTTACTGTAAAATTTGATACTCATCTGATACACATCTCATCAGCTCATTTATGACTAGGTATCTATGTCAGCAATGAAACCAATAAAATGTGTGTTTCCAAAAAAAAAGGGCAGAAATGAGTTGATGTCTGATGAGATGGATATATTGGGTTACATAAGATTAGATAGACAATTTGATATTTCTTATAAACGTAAAAAAATAACGCAATTGTTGTTAGTTTATGTAATTATTGTTGTCTTCGTTGGATGCATTTTATGTTCCAAAAAGATATACAATACATCAGGATATCAAGTTTTATGTTAAAAATAACATTATATAACTCAACATATCCATCTCATCATCTCATTTAATGACTAGGCGTCCTGGTCAGCAATGAAACCGGTAAAATGTATGTTACATAGAGAAAAGAGTCAAATCATCAGTAAATTTTATTTTGAGACTTATTCGCAAATTAGGGTAAAATAATGAGACTTTAGTGAAATAGGTAAGTAATAAAACCGGTAAACCGGAAAAAATGGGTCAAATTGCCATTTTTACCGGTAATTCATGTTTTTTCGTAAACAAAATTTATTTTGGGACTTTTCCGTAAATTATGATAAAATTTTAGGACTTTTCTGGAAATTTCCCTTTTTAATTTGTATGGAGTATTCGACACAGTAATTACACAAGTAGCGGAAAGTTTATGACATAAAAGTGAATATGGATATAACTAAAATTGGAATATAATGATTATAATTTATTTTTTCTAAACTATAATTATTAAAAGTTAAAAATCATCCAAATTTTAGTATCAAATATATGGGTTAAACTTCTTAATTGATAAAAAAAAATTAGTCATATTAGTAAATGATGAATTTTTATCAAATAAAACAAATAAGACTTTTTAATTTTTGTAAGAACTCAAACCAAATATTTTAACATATTACAAGTGTTAGATGGAGATTAATTTTGTTTTATGATATTAATTTAAATATTAATTTTGTGATATTATTTATGATATTAATTTTGTTTTATCAATTAATATAATAAATATTTATTATCTTATTAGATGAAGATTAATAAATTATAAAATTTGTTGATAAGGTTGTTTCAAATAAAGGCATAATAATTGTTAAAATATATTTATATTTAATCGTATAAGATATATTTTGTTTCAAATAAAGACATCATAATTGTTAAAATATAGTTATATTTAATCGTATAAAATAATTATAAAAAATATGGACATGATTTATTTATTTTAAAACGTATTTAAGTCAATTTATTAAAATCTAAAAGAGTTTTATTTGTTAAACACTAGTTGAAGTAGCTATTAGATTTGAAGCTTTTATTCAAGGAAAAAACTAAAAGCTTATGTTGTCGAACAAAGTTTTGTTTGTTTGTTTGTTTGTTTGTTTGTTTTTTGAATTTTTTTTCTTAAAAGTTAGAAGCTCTCAAAAACTATGTGTGATAACGTCCATATAAAATATCCACTTCATTGTGATTTATACATGTCATTAGGTTGTGGGGAGTGGGATCTACATTTGTTGAGTCAACTCGGCAAACACCGCCTCTCCAACTCGACATGCCGAGCTCGACAACCCCTATTCGGTATTTCGGTAACGACTTGTAGAGAAGAGTGTGTCAAACTCAAAAAAATTCGTTTTTTAACCAAAATTCAATTTTTTGTTTATGATTTTTCAACCAAAATAAATATCAACAACTACCTTCATTTCTTACCACTTTCACACCTTCAATATTCATCTTACTTCTCTCAAACCTTCAACATCCATCTTATCTCTCTCAATTTTATCTTTGCAAAATGTCTTCCTCAAAAGCTCATCCAGATTCCACTAACAAAGGGAATACCTCAATTTTGTACATTGGACCCGATAGAAGAGGTGACCTTGACTCGTGTATGAGTTGATGTATCGGATGACCCAATGGTCGACATCAACAAAAGTGGGTCATCTTTTTGGAGCAAAATCATCAAACTTTTCCTCAACAAAATGAATTGAGGTCACTACCGAATCAAAGATAAAATCTACACAAAATGAAGGATCACGAACAAAATGGTAAATGGAGTTTGACGCTTTTATTTAATAAAGTGAAAAATGGTGAAAATGATGTAATGATTTTAAATATAACTTTTAAAATTTTCGGTCAAGAAAATAAGAAATTTTCCACCATATAGAGTTTTAGTGTAATTGTCATGGGATGTGAGAAACGATGTAAAATGGAATACATAATTTTTATGTTTATTAATTTATTTCTTAGGTTTTAATTGAATTTTATGTATTTTATTTTAAAATAATAAACTTTATAGTTTTAATTTTATATTATATAATTTGCACATTGCAAGGTCTGATCAATGGCAGAACCCTTAAACCACTGCTAATCATTCATGTTGTCAAGATTTACGAAGAACAAAGATTTTGTTACTATTTAGTTTCATTTGGGTTGTTTGGGGTTGACTTCTTGTTTTAGTGGTTATTTTTGGTAACATCTAGATATCATGTAGAGATTTTGTATGTACTATCTAGGACCTCTTGTTTTATGTTTTTTCCTACTTCAAACAAGAGATAATTCATGAAATGACCATAGGAAATAGGTTATCTGAAGATTTTAACTATGAAAAATCATATTTTGTAAAATGACCATGACTTTTACAGAGGAGGACTCTGCGGAAACCTTAAACCTCTGAGGAATGGTACTATCTCTGAGGAATTGAGGTGGCAGAGGTAATAAAATCACACAAAAAATCCGGTTCCTACTTGCTTGGCTGCGGAAGTGTGAACGACTTAGGCCGTTTAGGGGGACGTTGCTGCAGAACGAAGGTCGGAACACGAACAATCCTGATTTGATAAGAACAGTTAGGAAATCCTGATTTTTGTCATGGTTAGCCGAAGAACAGTTCCTCAGAGGTGTGTGGATGAAGAGCAGATCCGCAGAGGTGTTGATGCGTTCCGCAAAGGTGTCTCTGTGGAACTGTCAGAATCATTTATATTCTTTCAGCTACCATTTCCTCAGAGATATCAATGTTCCGTAGAACATACCACATTTCCGTAGAGCCATCTTCTGCGGAAGTATGTACCCCACCGATTTTTTTGTCTTTTTCCCCTGACACCTCTTTTTCTCATTGTTGTTCACATTCCTCACAGCTATAAGGCCCTCTTTGCGGAAGTCATGGTCATTTTACAAATCTTAGTTTTTCATTGTCAAATTCTTCATACACACTCTATAATTTGATCATTTCATGAATTTTCTCTTCAAATGTCATCTGTCATGCAATAAATTATAATTTAAAGATATTTAGTTAAAACTTAGGGTAAATTACATGGATGGTCCCTGTGGTTTAGGGTAATCTGCGTGTTTGGTCCCTAACAACTTTTTTTAACACGGATCGTCCCTGTTTTAAACTTTTGTTGCACGCTTGGTCCCTGTTCGTTCTAAAAAGACTGATTTACCCTTATTGATTTCTTTTACATTTTTTATATTATCAGTTAATTAAAAAATAATAATTAAATGTGGAAATGATATTTATTAAATATTAAAAATATGATGTGGGTCCTAAATAAAAAAATCATTAATACAAAATTATATAAGGTGAGGGCAAAATAGTCTTTTCACATCTGATAAGGACCAAGCGTGCAACAAAAATATAAAAATAGGGACGGTCCTAGTTAAAAAAAATTGTTAGGGACCAAACACGCAGATTACCCTAAACCACAGGGACCATCCGTGTAATTTACCCTAAAACTTAAAACTTCCAATGAATTAATTTATATTATAAAATATAATACGAGTAGTAAATAAGTTTTAAATGAAGTCCTGGAGCCTGGAGGCTACATATGTCTTGAAACCCAAAAACCCTCCAAAACCCCACCAACCTTCTCGAAACACCCCCAACCCAAATATCCTCATCCTGTTACAAGCTCTGCTGCAGATGATGGTAATGGCGGCTGCCACGACAACCGCTTCACATCTTACTTCATTTCTTTCCACCCCAGGTTTTGCCACCGCTAATTCTATCTATATATGACACTTAATTGATTTCTGATCGGTATAAAATTTGAATTAATTGCAGAATTTTGTGGCCTATCTCGGAGCTTACAAGGGCCACAGAGACAGGTCAGTCATCTCTGTTCGACTGTTTCTTCCAAATTCGTTATTCTAACTGCATCAAACAATTCAACGCGGATAAAATTTCTTGACTTTCAAAGAAGGGGTTTCTGGGGAAGCAAGCATGGTGTTCGACGAAATGCCTCTGCCATTAAATGAAAGTTTTGTAGCGTGTTTGGGATTTCATATTAAATGTTCATTCCCGCGTAATCCTTTCAGATGTTTACGTGTGTTTGTGCTTAGTTTGTACTGATATTGGTTCCAAACAAAGATGCAACTTTTCTGTTATCTTCGTTTTCTATCGTTTGAAGAAACTACAATTATGTTACAGAGACGGTGTACTAGTAGATCTGTTCATCGGAAAATATCAGCCAGCGTTAATCTGAAACCTCCTCCTTATCCACTGGTACGCCTAATAAACATTCTGACATTTATATTCTTTCTCTTACTACAAGACCTTCACACCTTCTCTTCTTGTTCCATCTATGGTAGCATGCTCTAGAACCGCATATGAGCAAAGAGACATTGGAGTACCATTGGGGAAAACACCACAGAGCTTATGTCGACAACCTGAACAAACAAATTGAAGGAACCGAACTAGATGAAATGACATTAGAAAGCATAATATCGACTTCATATAACAAAGGCGATGTTCTTCCAGCCTTCAACAATGCTGCACAGGTATGGAACCACGAATTCTTCTGGGAGTCCATGAAACCTAATGGTGGTGGAAAGCCTTGTGGAGAACTTTTAGCATTAATAAACAGAGATTTTGGTTCGTTTGGAGGCCTAATCAATGAGTTTAAATCAGCTGCCACTACTCAGTTTGGTTCTGGTTGGGCTTGGCTTGTTTGTAAGTGTCTGTTTTACTTTTAAGTTTTACCTAAAGGTAGATATAAAAAGCACGAATGAAATGACAGTTCTACCCTTGTGTTTCTTTGTAGATAAAGAGCATAAACTTGACATACCAAATGCTAGAAATCCACGTCCATCAGAGGAAGATAAGAAGCTTGTTGTGGTAAAGAGCCCAAATGCAGTTAATCCTCTTGTTTGGGAGTATCATGTGAGTTAAAGTAAAGATAATAATTATTTTGCTATTTTGTGCATTTAGTTCTTCAGTTAAGGCATAACTTGGTTTCTTTCATTTTCTAATTTGCAGCCTCTCCTTGCCATAGATGTCTGGGAGGTAACATATCTTCACTTTCATTCATAAAATAAACTATTTTTTACTCCTACTTGTATTAATTTCACTTTTTGAATCTGATTTATACTTGCAGCATGCATACTACCTTGACTTTGAGGTAAAACTTCATATGCATATAACGATTGTCAAAATTTTGATTTAATGTCATTATAATAATTGTTTTTAAAAATTGTATTTGTTTACAGAACCGTAGGCCAGATTATATATCAGTGTTCCTTGATAAGCTTGTATCATGGGAAACAGTGAGTTTGAGGCTTGAAGCAGCAAAGGTTTTGGTTGCAGAGAGAGAAAAGGAGATGGCAGAAATAGATGCGGTTGATGATGTGGACACGGGAGAGCCCGAGGATACAGATAATATGTACTTTGGAAGTGACCCTGAGGAGTTTTTGGATGATGAATGATTATTTGATAGTATCATTGTTGTTTAACTTGCTTGATGTTTGTAATGCTAGCATATAATGAAATGTATTAGATGTTATGATTAGTAAAAAATCATGAGTAGGTTGCTATTATGGGTTAAAAATGCAACGAAGTTGGTTGGAAAAGTCTCATTTTCCTTACATTCTCTATTCTCTATAGAGTAAGGTGGTGTTTGTTTTTTGTCTGCACATCTGCGTGGCCTCTTCTGTCTGCGCCGTGCAGACCACGCGCAAACATTAGCTTTCGCAGACTGTTTGTTTTTCTGAAGACTGCAGACCTAAAAATGTCTGCGCGCCCTCTTCTTGGCGCAGATGTGGACCAGAGTCTTCTAATATTTTCAGACATCTTTTAGCCTAAAAAACACATATATCTATATTTTTTTTAAGTTTTTTTTTAATTTATATTTTTTCCAACTTTATTAATGATAAACAATTTGAAAAAAAAATTACAAAACTTAAAAAAAAACGTTCAACGATACAAATATGATATTTTTGACAAATTTATAAATAAAGATTTATTACAATAATAGTCGTTGAAGTTGTTTATATAAATACGAAAAAAAATCATAATATATTCTTATATTTTTTGCTAAATTTTGTAAAACATTATTTAATACACTATCGTCAATTTCTCGAGAAAAAATATTTATGTTATGTTTTTAATGGATTTAATTGAAAAAATCGAAGTTTATTTTCATTCATTTATGTATCAAATTCTTTGATCCTTAATTATAATGTTTAGTTATAACTTTGCAACAAAAGTTGTTGGTTTTTATTAAATATATACGTTAATTCATATCATTTTTATTTTTATCTTTTATACAATAATACATAAAAGTTGATATAGATTTGTTAATTATTTATAACAAAGTCATAAAAATATTAAAAAAACACTTTGAAGTTTAAAAAAATCAGTTTATTTAGATTTCAGTTTATTTTAGTAGCTCGCAGATGTTAAAAAAACAAACAGTCTTCTTTTTTCAGACTGCAGACGTTTGGTCCACATCGTCTACTGCAGAGGTCTACAGATGTGGTCCGCAGACTGCAGACATTTTGCATCATAAAAAACAAACAACACCTAAGTTAGGAGCGTGCAAAAAGACCAAGACGCAATCAAAATCAGTAAATGGTGCCTTGATTTGTTATTGTTCTACGATTGAACCATATTTCATCATGTATTGCATGAGTTTTCTTGTGGTATTTTTCGGTTTCCTCGAAGAAATTATCACATGTTTTGCATGGAGTTTTCATTGGGCCCTCCAACATTGTACACAAGTCCAAATGTTGACAAATCATCGGGTTTCATTCAAAGTTTTTCGATCTTGGACGAACGACGACAACGACTAGTACTTTCAAATCGACGATAGCTATTATATATGTGTTTTGTTTTTTGGGTTAATGACATTGTAGTCCAACCAACTTTCAGGTATTATTTTTAAAAAAAAATCCCTTAAATTATTTTTGAGCACTTTAGACCATTAAAATGATAAAACCTATCTCACAAAAGCCATTAGGACAAATAAGATGATAAAACCTATCTCACAAAAGCCATTAGGACAAATAAGAAAAGGTAAGCACGTGACCTTGCTTATGTGTTTTTAAAAATCCATCAAAATGATAAAACCTAGAACTTTTATCTTGTACTAAAGCTCAAAAACTAAAACTTTAAAAGTACAAGTATTACTTAAAACACACCTTTTTATTAAAATACTGCGGAAGCTTTGTTACAATGGTGGTGGTGGTGATTGTAGGTGAATGGATTCGATGATCCCAAACTTAGAACTTATGCCCTTATATAGATGGGCTTACAAACTATTGGACAAGAATAAAAACGTAAGCGATGACGTTTAAACAAGGGCCATTATTTGATTTGTTACATGTGGCCTACAATCTTTGATAATTATAAAGATACTTTTAACAAGTGGTGGGGACTTCTTGAAGACTTCTGAACATCCAAACAACTCAACTTTTGAAAACCCGTATCTCACAAAAGCCATTAGAACAAATGCACGTGGACAAATCTTAATTTTTAGAAATCCATGTGTAAATCATGATGGTAATGTTTATATACTCACTACGTCCCATATTGATAGCTCATGTTTCCTTTTTGGTTTGTCGCAAAATAATAGTCTATTTCTAAAAATAAATATATCTTCTATCAAAATACCCTTCATTAGTTAACCTACCATTGAATTAAATACAACAAAAAGGTACGATTGTCATTTCATTTAATAAAGTTATAGGTAATTAATGTTTCCTTAATATGTGTGTTTTTTGTCTGTGGACAATAATTTTGGGACGGAGAGAGTATAAAGTATAAACAAATAAATTGATCCTACACACATCCCCTCACCTTTCTAGATGCCCTTACCACCCTTTGTCTTCTCCGATGAATAGGGATGTAAATTTGACCTGCGGATTCGGGTATCTGCGGGTACCCGACCCTAATGGGACGAGTATTCCCCATTTTAACGGGTAACGAAGCGGGGATGGGGATTAAAGTTCATGCCCGAAGTGGGGATGGTTCAGGGACGGGTATAGCACCCGAAGTGGGGATGGTTCAGGGATGGGTATAACAATAGCTGCCTCGTTTAAGACCTGATTATATATATATATATATATATATATATATATATATATATATATATATATATATATATATATAATTGGAAAAATATTATATAAATATGTAACTCAATGTCAACCAATCATTTTAAAACTATGGATAGGGTATAACGGAAAATCAATATAATTACGAAATTCTCTCTCTCTCTCTCTCTCTCTCTCTCTCTCTCTCTTCTCTTTAAATCACGTCTTCTTCCTAGTCATATCTAGGATTCCATCGACACCCAAACTCGGCTCATACTACCGTCTTCTTCAATTCACCACGCCTTGATCAGTTCATCCACAAAAAATCAAGGCCATTCTTCCTTTAAATCCCAGGTATTCACCTTCTTCGATAAATTTCCTTTTAGTTTCAGTTCTCGGTTTCCTTCTATTTTCTTCTCTTAGGGGGACAATTCTTTGCCAATCGTGTTCATTAATGGTGTTTTCGTCGAACAAATAATAAAGTGGGCTGCAAACAACTAATGTATTGGTCTGGAAAAAATTGGGCTCTGTTAAACCTAGAAATGAATTGGCTTATAATGAAATAGGATTGGGATGATAAGGGGGAATTCAATTTGAGCAACTTTCAATGTTAATCTTCTTCTTCCATTCATCAAGCAAAATCGAAAACAAATACAAATCCATTGAAATCATGATTGTTTCTACTGTGTAATGCCCGGTTCCCGGTACATATTTTAATTTAAAGTTTTTGCATTTTTACTCTGGGACTCGACGAGTGGAGGCCCAACTCGTCGAGTAGATGTGAGTTTTGGGTCGCGGGTGGAAGTATCTGTTGGATTAATGTCTAAGTCCATAACTATAATTGGTAAGACTTGACCCGACCCGGCATGGTCCATTTGGGTTGCATGGCATCATGCATTTGGATAGACTATAATGAGAGAAATAACACTTAAGGTTGGTTAATATATTATAAGTTATAATATATTAATAAGATTATTTAACTAGTATTGATCAAGAATTAATCTAGAATTAATTAAGTGGTCAAAAGAAGACTAATTAAATATATGGGTTGATTGTGTAAATCATCCATACTTGTATAGTGGGCTAAGACTCCATGGATTATCAAGTTGGGCTAAAACCCATAGGATGCTCCATGGATGCTCCATGGTGTATTTGAACCCATGGATCCAAGGAAATGGAAAGCCATGACAATTAGGGTTCACCCTAATTGTCACTAACTATATAAGCATCTTATTGTTGACAAAATCGGCATTAGAGTATGTGTGAAAGGGCTAGCCGATTTTTATGAAGTGTGGATTTCTCTCTAATCTATTACAAGTGTATTTGGTGTTGTGTGAACCATTTGAGGTGTCACACTTGGGGCACTTGGCACTAAAGCTTCATGAAGACATTCTACATCAAAGAGTTATGTAATTCTAACTTGATATATTCATATGAATCAATATTATTATGCTAGTTAGGATAATACCTTGGATATTCATATTTGCATGTATAATAGAGAAAACATAGATCCAAGGTATTTAGGGTTGCATGTACACTTAGGAGTGTTAGAATGCTCAAAACCCTACAGTGGTATCAGAGCCAAGGCTTGTTTTCTTGTTATACTTGCAAAATCTGCTTAAAAATCGAAGGTTGTTGCTGTCTGAACAGCAGACTCGCCGAGTCCATAAAGGGACTCGACGAGTCCAAGGCAAAACTCATCCAACTCGCCGAGTTGGTTCGTGCACTCGACGAGTTGGACCCCCTGACAACATATCTTCGAGTTTTTTGGCTAGAAATCGACTAGGAACATTACCATAAGTTGTTTTTGAACTTATAAACTTGTTTTTGATGTGGTAATGTTCATGCTAATCTAATTTCAAAGATAATTGCCAATAGATTCATGTTTTGTATTAGTTTAAGTGTTATGCTAATTACATGAAAAAGTTTGATTCCAATTATATTGTTCATATGAGTTGCTTAGATTAATAGAAAAGTTTGATTGATTATGTGTCTTTGATCCATTTTAATCTAAGAGTGGATTCTAAAATGTGTTTGTGTAACTTGTCCTCAAGTTACATGAAAAGTCACATTAAATTTTCTTAAAACTCATAAAAGTTGGCAAAGGTTACAAAATGAAGAGTCTTGTCTTCATTGAATGGTTTTATGACTCCATAACTTGTCCTCAAGTTATGGAGGTTCAAGAGTCACTTCATTAAGTAATAAAATGTGTAACCTTAATTTGTTCCATAAGTTACAAAAAAAATAAAGAAAAGTTACATTCTTTCATTAGTTTAAAGTCTTCCATAACTTGTCCTCAAGTTATGGAACTTGAAGTTTTTTTAATTAAAACTACTTTAAACACATAAGTTATGGAATTAATTAGTTTTGAATAGTTTCAAAACTTGCCCTCAAGTTTTGGAATTTGAAAAGTTTTCTCTTATGAATACTTTAATTCCAAGTTAAGCCCTTAGAATTTTAAAAGTTAAAGTTCAACCCTTATACTTTATAATATTATAAGTTAATATATATATATATATATAT